TGCTCCAATCGGCTTGTCCCGGACGCCAATTCGATCGGCGAACGTTAGCGAGGATCACGCCGATCCGGATGACACGCGTTCCCGCACAAAGCTCGCAATTGTAGGGCGTTGAGAGGATTTATGAAACTCACCACGACACAGCACAGCACTGACGACATGCCGCCATGTTGAATGTCAACATTCGGCGTTCGCATACATCCAACGGGAGCGACCACGAGTTTCCTGTGCGCGCGCGCACACGCGCGCAGCTGAGAGCTGGGACCCAGGTTGACCGTGATGTCGCGATGGAAACGGGTTTAAAGTGTTATTACTGATTATGGCTTCGCTTTGCCGCTCACAACGCTTGCGAGCATCAATTGTCCTTGTTTAATATTTACTAAACAAGGATGAAACGACGCTTAAAGCGTCGTTGTGAACATCAAAGCGAACACAGCCTATATGGGAGTATCAATAAGCATCTGCGCAGAAATTTATTGCGCACGATTCTAAATCTCCTAGTCTGTTATATTATAAAGAATTTTTTTTGATATATGTCTAATGTATTAAACAATAATTAATTATATCTTAATTTGCTCGTTATTAGTCATTTCCGAATTTACTTTGTTTTGCTTCTGATTCCAGCTTTGTAATGCAAAACAGTAAATTAAGAGAGGTTATATTTTTGATATATACTGTTCTAATACTGAAAATTTATTTGTTTACATTATATAATGTAAACAAGATTCCTCTATCAGCATTGCAATTATCCAATTTCAGTATAATTATTTAACATATCATTGCGCATGCTCTAATGCTCAACGCTCCCATGTGAAGGTAGCTTAAAAGCGCCTGTATATAAAGTGCGATTTTTCATACGCAGCATGCTGCGACAGCAAAATGTGATTCGAATTTTCGAGAAACCGCGATTGGAAGTCACTTCAAGAAAAATTTTTAACCAATAGTAGCAGTGTGTTACCGCAGCGTGCTGCGTATGAAAAGTCAGCTGATTTTGTAGTTTTCTTGATTTTTCTTAAACCGATACTGCATACTTCTAGACTGTTCCAATGAGGAATTAAGGGAAAAACTAATTATATTAAGGAATTTTACAACAGTTACAAAGCTGCTTTTTCTGCTGAACGCAGCTATTGGTTATCGAATGTTTCCTGAAGAATGTTTTGAACTAAACTGTGCGATTAATTTAATCAGCGATTAACGTTCAGTTCCATCAATAAAAGATTAACTTTAATGTCAGTTTATTTTCTTCTAAAAATTAAAAAAAAAAAGAAGCAAATTAACTTTTACTTCTTTTACAGACAAGATTAAAGTTGATCTCTACATGATAGGAACAGGCTAGAATTGCTTAAAGCAAATTTTCCAACTATATAATTGATTGTGTCCCTATTTAATGTTTTATATTAATAAAATTAATAATTCATCTATATTGAAAAATAATGTAAGTTAATTGGAGTTTGGAAGACGTCATTCTAATTAGAATAACTTTGTGATCAAATTATCTTAATTAAATTAACTTAATCAATACTATTTTATTAAGTGACAAATAAAGCTATTAAATTAACAAAATTATGTTTAACGTGTCGATAAAAGATTAAAACAATAATTTGTACATTAGAGATTTTGTCTTAAGTGACCTATCGATTAAGTTAACTGCTGATTAAGTTACTCGAAATCACTGTTATTACAAATATTTCTACCAACGCAAATTAACTTTAATTTCGATTTAATTTACTCTTATCTTTCTATAATCCTTAGTACTAAACTTTTACATTAAATCGATCATTTTTCTCAAATATATTTTATATTTTAAATATATATGTATATATAAACACACATACACAAATATATACATATTCAGAATTGATTAGTAACGGCAGATTTGTTGCTCAAACGTTTTATTCCGAGAACGATTAGTATAACAAAGTTGAGAGGGAGAACGAAATATCAACGAGAGCACCAATCAATTTCGAGGAACCAAAAATGTACCTCAATCTCATTTTACATATATTGTGACTTATTATTGTGGTTCTCTCATCATTAGTATACAAAGTGACATACCTTCTCGAGCTCAACTATTCGATCATATAATTTACAGTACGACGGTCAGTTTAGTAATAGATGATTTGTGCAAAGTTTGCGCTTATTGTTAAGTGTTCAGTTTCGCCGGAGCTTCATTATTGGATGTCCTTGCATAGATGCCAAAGTGATTCAGCCGACGCCAACGTAGATCTTCGGGATCGGGTGTTGGTGGGGCAGTAACACATTCGAGACTCAGCTGCAAAGCTCGTCTCAACTCGTCATCTTCGTCTGTATCATTTACCAAGTCTGTTAAATGCGTTGTTTTATCGTCAGTGTGAAGATCCAATCTCAATTTTAATGTCTTGTCTACATCATCTTCGTCATTTTGCAGACTCATCTGCAGGGCTCTAGCTAATTGCATATTTTCGTCCTCTTCTTCGTCACTCTTCTCTTCTCTGCTCTCGACTCTTATGGGAATTATCCTTTCACGAGGTTCGTCTGTGGATAGTCCAGGTTTATGCAAAAGCGAGGACACATTTCTGCTTGCACTCGAAGATTGTGGGACCTTTACTTCTCCCATCGCAAGAGCAGTTTTCAAAATTTCGTCCTCCAGCTTGGTGCCTAAGCGATTGCCTTTGGATGTGATTTTTGATTCCGAGTTTGGATTGCTTTTAGTTGCAACTATAGGATTTTTTAGAAGAACATCTTCGGCGGGACATTGTGGAAGGGTACCAATAACGATAAAAATAGAATAACCTGTAAGATTAGCGGTTGATTGATATACCTTTGATTGACACACTTTTCGTTAGTGTCTCACTTTGAGCTTACCTTCTTGTAACAATTGAGCTAGATACATTGTGAGATAAGTGTCTGATATAAGCTGGGGTCCACTGAGCATTGAATTTAAATTAAACCACTGACTTGCAAGTTTTCTTATCGTAAACCAATGTCCCTTATAATTACAAATATATGCTCTCATCCGCCTGAAAATTATATTGCCATTACATATATTATCTTATAAAATTATTATAAATAAAATTACTTATTTTATATCATTGAAAAGTAAACGCATGATATAAATGATATGATATAAAAAAATAAATATAAAAAAAAACAATTAATTATGTTAATTTATATGTGTGATCTATTGCTGTAATTGTTGTAAAAATAATGAAATCTTTAGGAAATATGCTCTTCTACGAGTGCAATAGAAAATATATCAGAACATAACACAAAATAGACTCAAACCTTTGATTATGTAAGTACTTATAGTCAAAATTCAAAATAAATTATCGATAACCTACGAAGGATCATTCTGTGCCAATAAAGCTGTTGGTTCCGTGGTGCTGTTATATGGAATCAGTTCTAAACCCCAAACTTTCAAAGCACTGCTAATAACTTGAACTGAAAAGTATCCACTGTCGTCCATATTTCCCGATGGTTGCTAAACATAAGAAGCGATTCACTGTTATTACAGAGAGTATTTGCTCAGCTCTTAGGTAGGAAATAATAGGTCAAGCGTTTATGTCTATCAAAAAGGAAATTTTCAAAGAGTGCATGTCTTTTCTATAATATCAATTTTCATATGACACTGCTATCATCGAGTATTCAGTAATTGTATGCCGAGAAGCTTTGACAGGCAACGTCGTGTTTACCTCGAGAAACAGCTTGTAATCCTCACTGTCGACGCCCGACTCAGCCATCCGGATTCTTTCTTCCTCGTCCATTTGATGACCGAAATTCGCCAGGTCGACGGCGTTGAAATACGGGCCTTGCAAAAGCGCGTTCAGGCAGTGCTGGGCGCATAGGTATCCCTCTTGCTGCGAGGAAAAAACATCGCTAAAGAACATGAACACGATCCTCGTCGCTCGCGATAGAATTGATCGCCGTTACGGCGATGTCTTTTACCTTCTCGTGAAATATACTCTCCATTGTACAGTTTGCTCGGCGATATCGCGGATAACGCAGAACCCCGCGCCCGTCAGACGCGTAATAATAATCGTAAATATAATGTCTCTCCGCCGATCTCGGCCGCAGGTGAGAACGTCATCCACAAAAATATTTTCAGCCTACAGTCATGAACAACAGATAACCATTGTGTCGCCAGAGAGAAACCTGAGAGAGGCCATGCCGGCTTTTTTTCTTGTTACCGTCGAAATCGTCCGTACACTACCGCCAGTACATTCATTTTCAATTTGGGAACTACGTGCCTACATGCATTTTCTGACACTATCGATAAAATCGTATCGCCAAAAATAGACGTGATTCGTGCCTGTACTAAATCCTCAGGCAGAGAGAAACCAGAGAGGGACGATACCTCATAAAACTTATGAAAAAGGCTGGTATTCATAATCAGATCTTATATTCGAACCGTCTTAAGTACAGTCTTAAAAACGAACCAATCAGAGTGCCATATTAGCATCTTAAGACATTTCTTAAGACAATCTTGAAATAAGATCGGACTTAATCGGATTAGGAATAAAAAATAAACGACTTTAACCTATCAGAAATCAGATACATCGGAATACATCGTTTTTAATAGGTTAAAATCGTTTATTCTTTATTCCTAATTCTTTATTCCTTCTATTGTGCACAGGACCTTATATAGTATGCGTTTAAATACACTATAATATTTCCCTAGTTTTTCACTTATCGTTTCTTTTTTCAAATGTGGGGTCTTGTTCTAATAGCATTTTCTACTGGCAGAACTGGTGTGCACTCAATGCACTTTAAAACCGTTATATATAAATCGACGTAAAGTTATATGTTTAATAAAAATATAGAATGAATTAAACTGCAAAATTCTTAATACATTTTATTGTGGTATTTAATAAAATATACATTGGATTTTATTAATTAAGATATCTCACTTTTACATTTAGATTAAGAGCCGGTCTCTCCGACTAACCTAATCGATCGATTAGCTTAATCGGAGTTGGTGAGAACGAGCTTAAGTTAATATACAATAGCTTTAATGTGCACTGAGTGCGCATTATTCTGCCAGTGAAAAACGCTAAAGTTTCAAGGAATTAGGTTCTGTTAAATAAAGAAGAATTATTTATACTTCAACGTATATACACCTTATCAACGTATGATGAACATCAATTGACATATGCGTATAGAGGTGACAAAGTTAAAGGGAAAAGATAAAATAAACAGGAAATACACAACGGGTTAAATAACAGAAAACTAAACGACGAGAAGAAAAGTTTCTGCAATAATAAAAATATTCAAGTCGAGTGTCAAGTCTGTGGCAATAAACAATGCAGGAAGAGCAAAAAAATACTCCAAAATTAGGAACAATTCGAAAGTAAAATTATATTGTTTTGTTGCAAAAAATGCAAAAATGATATTTAAATTAGATGAAAAATTTCACACAACAAATACATACATACAAATTAATACAACGTATGTTTTTGTGTAGAATTCGCAATGCAAGTACACCAGACGTTGCAAGAAATCTGTCGGATACTACCTTATCTGCTTTACATAATATTTCTAGAGTCACTTCTCGTAGTAGAGTAACTTTGATGTCGAGTGATATTGCACAGTTACAGAGTGAGAGCTTTATGGATAATTTTTTTTTTACTGAATTTCATTAATACTGCTTTATTTATTGTTACATTTTAATATTGTGTTACATGTAGAAGTGCCAAGAAAGAAGATTGTTGTAGACAAACAGCCAATTATGCCATCACAGATAATATTGGATGCACAAAAGAAAATGGATAGTGAAGAATTAGAGCTTGGACTTCTTTACGATGAATATTTACAAACTATGATGATGGATCTCATAATGAAAAAGAAGATTCTAGAGAAAAAGCGTCTAATGATCATGCAAATGGCTGCCATAGCACAAGAGATTGATCAAGATACACAAAAATTGATTAAAATTAAAATAAGAGAACGGGATATAATAAATTTAAGTTTAGCACAAAAAGAAGCAGATGTTCAACTGATTGCAATGACAAAATATACTGGTAAGATTTATATATATATGTATATAATTTTATATATATATATATATATAAATTAAATTAAACTATTTGTTCTTTACATTTATATTTTTTACAGAAGATGAAACATATAAGGTTGTAAAAAATATGTTGTCCAAGTTGTACTTTCTCTTGGAACCTCTGGATGTATTGCGATGTAACGGCATAATACTTCCTGAAACACAAACTGAATGGAAAGAGACTGAAGAAATATTAAATAAATGTTCAAATGTTTTAAGAAACACTGCAAATCTAATAGGATCGAAAGGCGAAATATATTGTGCTGTTAATGCTGGATTAAAGAATTTTACCGAAACATGTGATGAAATAAAACATCTTCAAAAAAAGTATGTTGCAAATATTTTTATCCTTTTTAATTAACTTATTTTGAATTAATATATATTAACGCTTATGATTATATATCATTTATTCATTTGTATTTGTATTTTTCAGATTGGAAGAAGCACTGTGCAATTTACAAGTATTGATGTTGAAAAATGCTTCACTTTCCCTGGCATGCGATGATAAATGCGTGAATAAATAGAGACATGTTGGAATTGTTTGAAAAAATAGAATTACATAAAAATACGAAAATTGAATGAATTGGAAACTTTTTTGTACAATTGTTACATAAAATCTACTATATGTTGTTGAAATTTATGAAACAATTAAATACAGTTGAATAAAATCTATTTTATATTTTTGTAGAATAGTGTCAAAGTTATTTTCTTTCTATAAAATAAAAGAGAGAGAATTTAGATTTTTATGATTGCTCCATTCCATGTATAAAATTATTTTATTTGATAACAAATGATGTAGCATCATCAATCAAGTTTGTTAAATAATCTTTTTAAAATACAATCATGGTGGAAAGGATAATGTGAGGAGCTTTTCAACAAGCGACACTGTGCAACTGACATGATGATTACCTTATCTTTGTTTAACATTGGCGAACAACAAGGATATAACTATTCACCATGCCACACCGTGTCATCTGTGGGTACTTTCTTTCCATTTAATGACACAAGTCGATACAAGCGTCGTACTATCTTTCTTGACATTTAGAGAGTGACAAAGATAGAATGACATTTATGTTGGCATTTGTGTCATCAAATGGAAAGCATCCCACGTCTCTTGTTGAAAAGCTGCCATGATGTATACAATTGGATAATGTCTTTTTTTAAATCTCTGCCCTCTCCGTTTATGGACTGTTTACACGGAGTACTTAATAAACTTAGGAGACCAAACTCGAGATCTGAAAATGGGCTCGAAACACAGTATCGGAAAACTCATGGCAGAGAGAAATCTGAGAGAGGTCATGTTGGCCTTTTTCCTATTACCGTCGAAATGCCGAGTGTATGGCAATTGCCCACAATCCAATTGCACACAAGCCAATCACAGCGCTAAAAAAAATAACTCAAAATTCCCTACGCAGAAGTTGCTGTGATTGGCAGTGGGCAATTGCTACGATGTACAATTGAACCGTTCTCCGAAATATCCGTACGCTACCGCCAATACATCCATTTTCAGTTTGAGAACTATATGGAGAACTACAGAATAGAAGCCGATTATCTTTCGAAATAATCTATTAATATGAAGGGAGCTTTCCAGCAAGAGACACAAATTGACACAAGTCATCCTGTCTTTGTTCGATGATTAGTAAGAAACAAAGACAGAATGACACTTGATTCGATTTATAGCCTTTGCTGGAAAGTTCCCTTAGATTTAAAAAAAGACGAAGTGTAAGTTGAACCGAGATTAAAGTTAATCTACATTGGTGGAAACGGGCATTAGTCACTTCAATATTTACAAGAACGCCCGTAAGGGAACAACAAGAAATTCCCGTAAGGATGTCAGTCTTTAATAGTATCTCGTTGGTGGCTCAGCCAAAAAGAACGAGCAGACCTTTTAATTAAAAAGAACAGACCCATCTGCTGACGCTCGATCACGTGATTGAAATTGACGTTTGATATTCGTTTATTTTTATCACGTGATCTGTCAACATCCGGTCAGCCGTTTCCGAATAGAACGCGCGCACATTTTTGAAGACCAGGTCGTACATTTCGTACTTTGACGTTTGCAAGGCATCGATTTCTCGCCTCGGACTCGCGACGAGCTGTTATAAATTATTGAAGGAGTCTCTACAGCGTATCGATATCGTGCGCTGTGTTTTATTGACATTTGAAGGAAATTAAAACTCCATTAATTCTGTGCGTCACGCACTTTTCATCTTCTCTGACGCGGCCACCGTCTTTTATTTTCTCACGAACGTTCCGTCATCTGACAGATTCCTTTTTATCGGAATCAGACGACCACGTACCGATCGCGCCGCTATTCGCTTCTATTCGCATCTTTGTATCGTAAAAAGTACCGTTATAGTACGCGTCATACGTATATACGGCTATGCACGCGAGTTTCACACTATACGTGTGTGAGTAGTGCGACTACGATCGTGCGCTGTGCGCCTCGCGACAGCTCGGCTCATTCGGCTGTATCGCCAAATACAGCTGCCGACGCTTCGGACGTTCTAGCAGAACTGTCAGCGTCCGGTCCGTTTATTCTGTTTCTCCCTACGACTCGGTTCTTATTTCATCTTTGTCACCCTTCTGCGCGAGAATGCGAGACCGTGGACGAACGTAGGACACGAGTCTCCTCCCGAGGAAGGCGGCAGAGAGACGTGTGTCTGCTCCGCGTGTGTCAGGCCGCGGTTATGTTTTTCGATGGAGAGTACTTTAGCGACAATGGCAGCAACGTCCCCGTCGAAGGTACGTTGAAGGTTTTCCATCCCCTCTACCCCTGTAATTTTCCACCCGTGTAATCCCAGGGATGCCAGCCGTTCGTATAATCGGGAAACAATCGAAAAATTGAAAGAAAGATTAGATAGAGCATCTACTTTATTTGCGATTCGCGAGAGAACCGAACAATCGAGCATAATTCTGACGGACATTGCGAGACAAAATGGAAAACGTACGGACTCGGCGAGAACCTGTTCGCTATTGCTTATCGTCAGATCGTTATCAGTGAATAATATGAATAATACGAAAATTGTTAATCGCGCTCGTTATTGATGCAGTTGTTCTTGATTTAGGAATTGAACGAATGTAATTTGGATGAAGAGTTTTATAAACAAAGATTTTTATTGTCATAGTGCGATTGTATTCATCTTTTGACACACATTAATTAATAATTTTTAATTTTTTGCTATTTACCATAAATAGCTCAAATAATGTAGTTTTATTTTTTGTACAACTTTACAACAATTTCTGTTGTTTATATTAACATATGTTGTTTATATTTAACATATGCTAATAATTTTTATTGCTTAACATATGCTAAATAGACCTTTATAAAAATAAAATTGTCGACATAGACATTAATATATTGTACATATTTCTAAAAAAAACATTATACCTGTTTACATTATACCTCTTTGAACAAAGTAGTTTCTTCCATAAGAATGTTTGATGTTTGTCGTTCTTAGAATAGCTTCTGTGTAATTTATATTATTTAGTATATGCTAAATAGAGATCTGTATATAAAATTATCTATTTATATAGACATTAATACTTATCTCTAAAATTATATTATATCTTTTTGACTAAAGTTTCTTCTATAAGATTGTTTAATATAAAGAAATATTTACATTCAATTTGTTTAATATCCTAGAGAAGACTGCAGAAGGAGTTGATGTCTTTAATACGTGAGCCTCCACCAGGTGTACACGTAGATGCAGAATTGGCTGGACAAAATTTGACACAATGGATTGTCCACATGGAAGGTGCTAAGGGCACGCTGTATGAGGGGGAACAATTTCAGCTTCAATTTAAGTTTAGTTCAAAATACCCGTTTGATTCGCCAGAAGTGACTTTTATTGGTGAAAATATCCCTGTACATCCACATGTTTATAGTAATGGTCATATTTGTTTATCCATATTAACGGAAGATTGGTCTCCTGCTCTCAGTGTGCAAAGCATCTGCCTGAGTATCATTTCCATGCTAAGCAGCTGTAAAGAAAAGGTGTGAGATTTAACTGTTAAAACATATGTGAACTTTAATTATAATTCGATACATAACGTATGTACTTTCCATGTAGAAGAGACCACCTGATAATACATTTTATGTGAAAACTTGCAACAAGAATCCAAAAAAGACAAAATGGTGGTATCATGGTAAGAAAATTGCTTTATATTACACATTTCAGAATCTCGCATTTTTATCATATCGTTAAATCCTTGTCCTGTATAACATGTGCAATCAGCTATATTCTAACTAATTATAGTTAATTATTTCATATATGTAAAAGTACAACTTTGTAAAATGAATAAAATGAATCTTTTTTTTTTAGATGACAGTGTTTAACATTGAAAATCATATAAAGATCTTGTCAACTTGTCAACATTTGTTGGACCAAGTGGGATAACATCCAAATATGGAACCTGATGCAAATTAATAGAATTTTTGCATATAATATTATATTATATAGTAAAGTCAATATAACAAGAAATTAGTACTTTTAAGGAAAGACAAGGCTACAACTTACTTATTATTATAATTATAGAATTAATGCAAACTGCGTGAATTGTTTAATCATAAATTATTGCAATGTTGCTAATAGCGAAGCATATTTTAGTTATAGAATTATTATCAGGATCAGTAAATTAATGCTAAAAAGACAGATAAATAAGAAGGTATTATTTATTAAATAAGATATTAATATATGAAGTTTTCTCTCTTGTTACTCCGAATTTATGGAGATTCCTGATGTACATTAAAATCATTTAATAAATTTAGAAATTATGAAAAATATGAGAAATATATATATGCATACTATATTACAATAGCTATATAGTTTAGTAATTTACTTTCTGTTGCTTTTAATAAAACTTAAATATTAAATTATGATCTATTTTATATATTTGGGAACGCATATTTTTTGCTTAAAATTTAGTGGTAAATACTATTCTTATACATTGATTTCTATTTACAATAATAAAATGTGATTAAGCGCAATATATACTTTTTTAAATAAGTAACTTAAATTTTTTATCTTTTTAAATATGCAAACTATATTTTTTAATACATTCCTCTCTGTTGCATTAATTTGTTTCTTTCAAATTTTTTGAGGCTACCACTTAAATCTATCGGGTCTGTTCTTTGTCGCTGCATTAAAATTTTTTTCTTTAAATCTTAGTTAAATTCTACTAAAAAGATCATGGTACTATGCAAATATATTAAATAAATCCCATACGATGCTATTAAAACTTTTTATCTCGTTTTCGTCAAAATTTAAATATATATATATTTTTTTAAGTATAATATTATATATTGGTTCAGATACAAAGAACAGGCCTGTTAATAAATATTACGTATTTAATGAAGTAAATATCGTATTTAAACAAATACAGTGAGAGTTGATATAATAACTCATATATTACATTTTTTCTTATTAGCACTTTTACAACCTAGTTGTGATTTTATTTAAATATATATAATATATTTAACATGTATAAGATATTGTCATATATATCATGCTATGTTCTTTTAAATAAATTTTAAAAGTTGTAAAAGTTTAATTTACATATATATAGTAATAATTTATTAGATGTGCTATTTTATATAAAATAAGATGACATTTTGATGATAATATATAATGTGAGATTAATTAATGACACTGCAAATATCAACAATTGGTATATATAGTCTGTTTTAAAATTTTTATGTCATGTAATTTTACAATTACATCATTACATGTATTAGCTAGTAAAACATTTTGTACATTTATTAAAAATGTAAAGTGACGTGATATTAAATTTCTTAATAACATTTAGTGTCTTTCTTCAATCATTAATTTATCGCGCCTTACATGTTGGTTGTGTGTGTGTGTGTGTGTGTGTGTGTGTGCGTGTGTGCGTGCGTGCGTGCGTGCGTGCGTGCGTGCGTACGCGCGTGTATTATGTATATGTAATTTGACTATATATGATGTATGTGCGAAACACAATTCTCACATGAGAAAATAAGTTTTAAGAAAGATAATTGATATATATCAAATTGGAGCGTACGTAATGTAACTACAATAAAACAATTTATTAGAAAAATGTTTTATCCAATTATTACTTCATATTTTATTGCATTGCAGTAGCGATTTCATTCTTTTTGTTTTATTAGAGCACTGCCTAATATTTATCCTTTCAAAACTATTAGTCAATCAAAAATAGTTAATATTTCTAGAAAACATGTTTTGTACATTCACGATTTTTTAATGCATAATCTCTTTCTGTAATAAATTATTTTTATCTTCAATATAAATATTATTCCTTATTATTAAATACAATACAAGAGGGTGTGGTTGATAATGAAGATAAAAGTTTATTTTGCGTTTGATTGAAAAGAAAAACTCCGCTTTTATTTTAAGAGCATGGAATACTTTTATTAATCGTATAATTATGAAATCAATTTTGATATTAATATCAAATCTACATTATAATATAATATAATATACAAGAAAATTGACATTGTTATCTTTATTGTTCGAAAAATTTACTGTGTAAATTGATGATAATATTTTAATTAGCGATAAGATTTATGTGTTATTTCTACTTTTTTAATCTCCCTTTTCTATAATTGTTAACTGTTGTTAATTTATTCTCTTTTAGTTCCATCTTTATCAAATCTTCAATAAATGCTGAAATCAATACATTACTTTCGAAATCTATAATTCTAAAAAAACGACTTTATTTGTGCTCCACAGTTATTTTCGCGATTAAATATATTTTCAGAAGCTGCTGCAAGAGGTGAATCTTTATTGTATTTTGTGTAATACATAATACATTTACGTATGTAAATCTTTAATAAAATACAACTTTTATCAGAGTAAATTTCTTTAGTCATATATATAGTTATACATATGTAAATATTAAAGTACAAATAAATTTTAATTGCTCAACAGCATTTAGACTAAAAATCAATAAATACCATAAATCTTGCATTTCTTATATAATTAACTATTTTATAAGCAAATAATACGGTTATATTATGTATCTATCGTTATAAAATATTTAAAAAAAAGTATTTTAATGTTTAAAACTGATTCTTTCGAAATAATGTAATCTACGTTTTCGATTTATTTTCTGGTTATATTATAATTTTGGTCATCTTTTTATATATAATTAAATTATAATAATTAATGACGTGTTAAACGTGTTTAATTCGACTGATATCATCAATTATGATATGTTTTTATCTTATTAACAAGTGCAACAGCAAGAAGGAAGACATTCTGATTGAAGAATTATTATCTTATATATGTATTCACGCGTTTATCATATACATATATACATATATTTTTATTGATGTTGCGAAACCATTAATTGTC